CCTTGGAAAGAGGACCCCGCCAGCCCGGGTCAGGCTTGTACAGGCAGCCGGCAGCCCAGCCCCTCCTGCACACGCACTCCACTGCAGCAGGTGGATGGGCACGGCTGCCACCAGGGTCTCCCCCTCCCTGGGAACCCACACCCCTTTATCGATGGCTTCTGGGAGGTAAGGGGCTTTGGATGTCTCCTCCCAGCCCAGCTGGTGCAGAGCTGGGACCCCGGGCAGTGAGTCTGCAGCAGTGAGCTCCCTGTTGCTGGAGAAGATCGAAGGGACTAGAAACAACTGAGGACATCCCCCCATGGAGCCTGCCCCTGCTCCTTACACCGGGCCTGCACAGTGAATGGGGGTGAATGAAGGAATGTGCCAGAAGCATAGAGGAGCTTCTTGCTCCCAGAGAGAAGCTGGACGTGCTGCCCTCAAAGTCCTGTGTGGGGGGTGCTGTGTACCTTGAGACAGCGTCTTGGCCTCTCTGGGCCAGGATCACCTTGGGCTCAGCAAACAGACCCAGATTTCCAAGCCAACTCCTTCTGTTTTCCTTGTCCCAGGACTCTAGGACTTTCCCTGGCCCTCTATGGCCAGTAGCAGCCCTGGGGGCAGCCAAGGCAGCTCTAGAGAGACTGAGGAGGTGGGAGGGAGCTGGGCTGTCCATCCCCCTCACTGGGGGCATCTTTCCCTGAGCTCTGGCTCAAGAGCAACTCCAGGAGCCAGGCTTCTCGCTGGCCTCTGAGCGGGTCCTTCAGCTGCTCACACCATGACTGCCCTATTCCCCCCAAGTCTCCAAGAGGGGGAGGGCGGTGCAGCCACGGGTGCAGGGTCAGGTGGGTTCGGTCCAGCTTGGCTGAAGTTCTGGTGGGGTGCCGTCTAGAGAGGGTGACTCCGCAGCCTCCACCCCAGTCTGGGCCCTGTTAGTCAGGGTCAGCAAGAGTCATGACGTTTCACTAGGGACAGGGAGATAGGGGACCTCGAAAGGGTGAGCCCCCACCCTCAGGGGCTCTGGGGAGGGGAGACAATGGAGCAGGCTGATTGGAAAGACTGTGATGGATTCAGACAAGCTGCTCTTAGGAGTGGGGAGACCCACAGCCATGGATTCTTGGGCACACAGCTTACAGACACACACGAAGCTGTGGATACCTATGTACACAGTTACGCGCGCACCCGTATGCACGTTACAGGCTCTCCCAGCCCTTCAGACACCCAGGGTCAGTCACAGAAGCACACACACACAATTGTGCACACACAGCCACTCGGATCCTCTGCACAGTGTCGGACCTGAGTGTTCTCACAAGTACCAGACGCTCACACACGCAGGTTATGGGCAGTGTCGCTCCATGGCCTTGGCGCACCCCCATGGCAGCACGTGAACAGCAGAACAGAAATGTAAATGCTTGTCCACTCACACAGAGGTGCACAGGCACTCACACAGGCACGCAGGCTAGTGTGTGCACACGCACTCACACAGACTATCGCTTCTCTCCACCTCCCACCGCAAGAGAGATTAAGACAAGAAGCTCTCCCCACCCAGGACTCTAACCATGTTCCTCCCCACCTAACCTCCACCAAGCTTGGAAACTCCCTGGATTTCCCAGTGGGTCAGCCAACCAGAACAGGCTCCCCCACCACACACCCGCCATGGCTCTGGTCAGGTGCTTCTCCACCATCCACTGCCAACAAGCTGCCTGCTACCTGTCAGGAAGCCCACCCTGATGAACCCTAGACCTCTCCGATCCTTTGATGTGGGATCCTTGGGCCCCAGGGCCGTATGGCAGTTTTCTTGGGCCTTGTTCCTCTGAAGACCTTCTTTTTTAATTTTTTAAAATTATTTTATTAATTTTATTTATACATTTATTTTGGGTGGAACAGAGAGAGAGAGAGAGAGAGTGAGAAAGCAAGCCGCCAGGTCTGAGACTTGAACTACAGTAGGTCATGTGGGAGTCCAGCATCCTTAAACACCACACTACCTGCCGGACCCCCATTTTTTTAATAATAATTTTATTTATTCATTTATTTTAATTTGAACAGAGAGGGAGAGAATCTCTGAAGACCTTCTTAAGTGTCTTGTACATCAAGGGCGTGAGACTCGGAAGACCTGGGAGGGAGCAGACTGTCTTGGGGACTCACTTGGGAAGCTAAGTCCAGCTTAGATGAGTGAAAGTGGACAAAAGATTCTGATTTGGGGTGAAGGGAAGGGTGCCCCTCCTCCAATCACACTAGGTCCAAGAGTAGGAACTTGTTCTTCCTTCTCCCTGGGGGCCCTGGGGTCTGACCCCACTGGAGCTTGGCTAACACTGGCCCCAGGGATTTCTGTCCTCGGCCAGGGCTGTTCCTGGCTCTGAGCAGCCCAGCCCTGGGCAGAGCTCCGCAGCAGACAGTGAACCTGTCTGACCTCCAGGCTCCGGAGATACAGGACTCTCCCTTGCACCAGTCTGTTTCAACATCCAGCCACAGCCTGTCCGGGCCAGAGGTCAGCTCAGCGATATCTGGGGGCCTCCAAAAAAGGGCGCTGGAGTGTGGGGGTCCAAACCTCCAGAGAGAAGACCTTCACCAGAGGAGCTGAGACAACATTGCAGCAGCTGGAGTTGAGGCTAGCCTCCAGGACATATTTGGACCTAGGAGAGAACTCTGAGGGCTGGGACAGGAGAGGAGGGCACGGGCCTATCTGGAAGCAGAGGAGAAAGGCCTCACAAACCCCCTTGCAGTCCAAGGTCTGCAGAACAATCTAGGCTCCTGCCTTAGCTCTCAGACTATGCGATGAGGAAGTCGTGCTTCCCAAAGGAAAGAGGGAGCCGGCGCCTCACCCGATCCTGGGGCAGAGGTGGAGCTGTCT